AAAAGCCTGAAAACCCACAAATCATCATGTAGAAAAAGAATTATTCTTAAAGACGACCAGCTCAGCTGGCAGCGTGACTCCACATACTGATGCAGTTTAGGGTATGTTACGTACAGGGGGAAACAAAAGGCAGCAAGAACTCCTTAAGCCAGCAGTGCTGCTGAAACCCTCAAGCTGTAGAACTGCAGCCTACGAGACACTCGTTTTGCTCAGATCCTGGCCTACTGGGCACAAAGAAACGACTTAGCAACATACCTTCTTCCTGATGAGCTTCAGCAATAAGCTGGCAGTGCTGCACACAGGCAGTCGCAATATCCACTACTCTGTCTACCATAAAGCTTCCTTCAGTATCAATGAAGACAGCTTCTCCAGCTACGCCCCCAAAGCATTCCGGGATCTGTACATCTACTGCCAACTGCATACTGCCAAGGGAAACAGAAAAAAAGGTCAACGTTTTAAATCACAAAGCTCTCTCCACCCAACTCTCTCCTAAAGTGACATTTCTGCTGCAGAAGACATGGAACCAGCAGTGGTACAGCCATTATCATTATTATCTTTATAGGGCTGTATAAGGACCTGAGATTGCAGCCATGACAACAGAAGATGAACTCTCTTCACAGTTAAACTAAACAAAGAGAAGTGATTCTCAGTGGCATAAAAGTAATCTACAAATGAAATACCATAGCTGTGTTTTCCCAACACCCGGCGCTCCACAGATCTCGGTGATTTTTGTTAGTTGCACACCACCTCCCAGAATATTGTCGAGTGCGGAACAGAAGGTGATGATGAAGCCCTGGGTTTGCTCCTCTTCCAGCAGTTCCAGTGCTGTGCACTTCCTGGTGGCTCCTGACCCCCCAGCAGTCCTTGCTGCACCACTGTGACATTCCTGCCTCACAATCTGTAATGCTTCCAGTGCCTCTTCTTTGGAGATTCCAATTTCTAGAAGAGTCAAAATCATGAAACTCTACTGTATTTTTATACACAGTGATTTATGTAAAGTATGAAGAGATAATGTAACTTGTCTGACAGATCCTGATCATTCTGCAGTGCAACACAAAAATGTTACTCCTTTTAGCATAATGATGCTTCCCAACAGCTTCCCAACATCTGTGGAACTAACGACGTGGTTTACAAAAGTGCTCGGAGCAATGACACCCTGCACTCAGAATTTAGGTGACAGTAAGAGATCTGCACATGAAAAAAAAAAATCAAAACTGCTGTTCATAGACATGCATGAGATCTGGCAGAGCAAGTCACCTGTTCTGCACTGAACACGCTACCACAGTAACTTCATTCGAAGCAAATAAGGGCCTGTAAAAGAAGCCTGGTTGCAGACGAGTGACAGTGGCACTGGTCGGCGACACCTACTGACCGTACGCTGATTTATCAGGGTATTCCAGGGCAGAGCACCTCAAGCATTGATTTTTGTGAAACGCACACCAAGTAACAGAGATTAGACACCTCCAAGTATCTCTGTCTAACTGCGCACACGCGTATCTGTCAGGACCTACCGACTTCGCTCTGATCTTCAAGGCAAAACTACTACCCCGTATTATCACAGATAATAAAACTACTGATAAACAAAATCACGACACACTACTTAAAATGGCTGTGCAAATATAATACGAGTTTCTTGAAAAAGGCAACTTCATGACTTCACAACAGTTTGCTTAAAGCACCTACAGCTGGGGAACGGCGGGGAATGACAGAATTCTCCGGGTGTTCTTATTCTGTATTCATTTACACTCAGTATAAGAAGGATCTTTTAGCAGAATCGCGGGGTGTGGGTTTATTTATTTTACTTAGGCACATGTGAGTCATTAAATATTTACTTTGCCCGTTCCTCCAGGCTCTGCTGAATCTCAGCGAGATTTCTCGGGGGAGCTGCCGCTGCCGCTCCCGTACGGCCCGAGCACCTCACCTGCCCACAGAAGCGACACCCTGCTCACCCCCACCCTCGACAGTGACCTGCTACCGAAGTTTCGCGGAAGAGGGTGAGGGAAGGGCTGCGGAGAGACCTGCCCGGGAGGGGATGCCCCGCGCCAAGGCGTCGGGGAGTGGCCAAAGGAGGCGGCCTGAGGGGATAAGGGCCGCCGGGCG